AGGCAAAAGTAAAACTCTTCAGATGACTTCATCTCCGTCCGTATCATTTTCAACTTCTGAAAAGTCCACGAATCCATCGTCTGACTCTACAGCAAAAGGCCTGACACGCTACAAAAGTGTACCACATGGACAACAGCAGCAGATGGACCTTGACCACCGACGGGGCGATCACGATGAGCAGTCGTGCGAACAACTTGTTAGATTTTGACATTTTTTGAGAATTCACACTCTTCTCCTTCTTAAAAAAAAACGTTTCAATCTCTTCAATCTCAACGACTATTTGAGACTGAGTGATTCAGCGTGAAATAATTAATGTCTTAGACGGACCTCCGTTAAGATCTGAAGTTCATTCAAAGTGTGTTAATTTTAAAGAGTGAATTCTGCACAAGTTGCAATAGTTTTTTGATTTTGAATTCTCAGCAAGCAAATTCTCTGCATCATCTTTCAACTGAATTAATCTGTTGCAAGAAGGCACACAACGTTAATTTTTGATTGCGAAATGTTAAACGCAGCAGGTCATGCTATGACATTGCATCGTGCTCAGATTATTCGTTGACTTGAGGCATAACTTGGTATGTTGATCATAACAGTAAAATATTTCACCGTTGTCTACATCACCTCAAATTAATGTTGTGCCTTTATGATGAGATTTCATATGCCTTTATGAAGAACAACCCTTCAGATCCACGTAAAATTACTTTCTTTGGCAGATATCCTGAATAACATAAATTATATTATCGCCCTAAAAGCAATTGCCGTAATTAATACANCGAAACCAATTTTCGCCGTAAATCATCTACACATCCATGAAGTTATGAATTTCCATCACATTCCAGTCATTAAGTGAAGATCTGTTTTGAGTGGTCCACTAGGGCCTACGATAATATAAGTGTATATGGCTGTAAACCAATTATGAAAATTCGATGAATTGATCACTCACAAAAACGATTTCAACGATCGTTTTGGGTTAAGGACGACAACTCAATATATGGATAATGAAGAAGGATTGAAATCGGCGGATGAATTTTGATGCTGCCTCCTCCAAAGGCATTGCGAAATAACGGTTACATTCTATAAGGAACGAGTGCCAATTGAACTCATCACCATCATAGTACTTACCTCTCCTTTATTGTTCACCCTCTTTTGTCATTCAATCAATCAATCCCACTTTTCGATTTGAATCGAAACAGTTTCGACGTAAAATGCATTTAATCGGATTGTAAATTCCAAGAAATCTGAAGGAAGTAAACATTTAGTGCGTATGAACGAGTCACATTCTTAATGTTATTGTTCAGGTTAATTATGAATCAAAAGTGCTGTGAATTGGTACTCTTTTTGATCTATCCTTGATCAGTTCATATTACCTAACTGTAATTAATAGCTAAACGACTCAAGAAAGAATAAACTGCGCTGCTGATTACGCACTCAATCTAATCTATNCTTTAATGAATGCTTGTAAATTCATTCATCCATCTCAAAATTCAAAGAAACTGAATCAGTTTCTCCGAAGTTATTGAACACGAATGTGGTGAATTTTGAAAGCTTTGGAATTTTAAGCTAGCGATCAAATGTTTTTTGTCTGTTGGCTTCTAAGAAGAATGCTCATAAGCAGCCACAAGACGGTTGGTTTCTAACTAGACTTGTAGATTTCAATATATTGAAGATAAATAATTTTTCTCAGAATAACTTCCTCTTCGAAAAATAAGATTAACATCGTTTGTCCTCAATTATTCCATTCAAAAACCCCAGATGAATTTAAAATATTCTATTTTTTTGGTTCGTTCTCAAACCAGAACGTACTCGATGACCGCATAAAACGACAAAAAGCAGCGATGCGTGTGCATTTCACATCGATTAATTGATTGTGCTACGGAATTTCTTACGATCAGAAACCTATTCATGAATAATGTAATTATTTTCTACCATCTAACATTCGTAATTAATCCGTCTTTCCCACCAGAATTCAGCACAACCTAACAAAATATCAAAAATTTTTCCGAAAAACGGTCATTCTACATATTCTTTCAGTAATAACCTACAATTATTGGGAATTCACTGATGATATCTAGTACAAATTCATAAAGAAGCTTGTAATATAAGTGTATAATTTCCTGTATTTCGTTTCTTCCGGAATTCAGTTGCCAAACATTTTGATAACTGTTACAAATCTGTAACGATTCCTCCGTGACGAGTTGCATTCAGATTCACTCATTTCAATTTTCAATCTTTGCAGATGCGTTCTCATCGCTCTCATAACAAAAATCATATAAAGTGTTCTCTTATTGTCCATTTCTCAATCTTCATTTCTCACTTCGATCAACGTTCAAAGTGACACTCTCTC